GGCGTGAGGATACGCAGTAAAATACCCTAATACGTTAATTAGATTAACTTCTTCATCTCGGACATAATGTTGACGGTTTCTTCCCGGGTTTGGTTTAAAATTATTCAAAAAGTTAGCTTCGATTCTATCAAATTTCTGTCTGTTCATTGGTGGTAAATGAGGGTATCGTTCATTAAACATGCGGCAGGTTCTACTTTTGATTCGATTACATTCTCCATGAATGTAAAATAAATTAAGAATATCTTGGTTGGTATATTCTTCAATATTTTCCATATTTTCCATATTTTCCATATTTTCCATATTTTCCATATTTTGAACGCAAAAAATACACAACTTAAATACATAGAAATATGACAATTCAGTTTGTTGACAGATTGTTGTTTAGCATATTTCCACGGCATACTAAAATAAAAAATTAAAATGTAAAACTATACTATATTATGTAGGTGCATGCGTAAAATTTAAATTTAAATTTTCTTAAAATTGGCGAGAGATAATTATAGGGAATTAATAGTGCAAATGAAGATCAATGAAGAATAATTTTCTGAACAAAATGAAATAAAAATATACAGGATTTTCCATTTAAAATAAAAAAAATTTTCATGTTTAAAATATTTATTTTTTAAAATAATTTCCAAACACACAGTCGAACAAACGATGTACAAGTAAATTTAAAAAAGCAAATGTCTGCCGGCATATAAAAGTTTATAAAAACTGAATAACGCCAGATACACTATAATTAGAATAGGCGAATGGGGTATTATTGTTTACAGAATTTCATGCTGAATCTAAAATTTAAAAAATATATAGGGTGTTCAATTTAAAATAAAAAAGTTTTTTATGTTTAAAAAATTTCATTTTTAAAAATAATTTGCAAACACCCCGTACAACAAATAATGAATAACTAAATATTCTCAAGAAGTACATCCCATCTACTACCTCTGTTTAAAATTTTAAGTATCTGATAGATATAGTACCTGAGATAGACGACTTTAAGAAAATGTCTACCGGCGACTAAAAATGTAGAAAAAAATTGAATTACGCCAAATCCGCTATAACTAGAATAGGCAAATGGGGTATCGTTGTTTACAGAATTTCATGCTGAATCTAAAATTAAAAATAATTTATAACAGAGTTTATTTTATTTTAATTCAAAAGAGCATATTCGATTATGTATACTCAGAAAATGGCGAAAATACAAATTAATTTATTCTCCATAAAGTTGTAATGCCCGCCTTACGTGGGACACGGTGTATACATATGTATACAGATTGCTTAAAGCGGTATTGCTCGCGGCCATTTTCGCTCACAAGTACCATAAAGTGATTGGAGAGTTTGTTAATTGAAAATCAGTTTAGCACATCCAAAAAATAAAAACTTGACAGATTAGAGGTGCCTACCAGCAGTACCAGCGCACAATGCAACCCGATTTAAGCAATCTATATAAAATGTATATCATTGACCCTGTCAATTACATTGACGAGTGTCAACTGTCGTTGGAATGCCTAATTCTAACGACAGTTGACACTCAGCGATGTAATTGACAATGGTATAAATAGTTATATAGATTGTCTCTTTTCTCTCTCCACTCCACCCTACCCCCCACCATTCCACCCCACCACTCCACCCTACCCTCCACTTTACTCCCAATTTGCCTCTGCCCCACTCTACCCCACTATCCCACTCTACCCCACTTTATCCCACTCTACTCCACTTTATCCCACTCTACTCCACTTTATCCCACTCTACCCCACTTTATCCCACTCTACCCCACTCTACCGCAGTTTATCCCACTCTACCACACTTTACTCCCAGTCTGCCTCCGCCCCACTTTATCCCACTCTACCCCACTTTACTCCCAGTCTGCCTCCGCCCCACTTTATCCCACTCTACCCCACTTTACTCTCAGTCTGCCTCCGCCCCACTTTATCCCCCTCTACCTCACTAGACCCCAATCTACCTTTACCTCCCACTTTACCCAACTCTACCTCATCCACTCTACCCGATTTCATGAAACGTGTTGAAATTTTTTATTTAAAAAGCAAAATTCTAGCTTTTTATAATAGCAAGTTAAAATCTCAATTGACCAATCAATCTCAAATTAAAATGTATTTACTTACCTGAAACATAAATTTTTGCAAAAACCACTTTCTAACAACTGCACTGTACGAAAGACCAACATTAAATGATTTAGGTTAGGCTATGAACGTAAACAATCGAGGTTCAAGCGCATGCGTTCAAAGTAATGCCAACGTAATTCCATGTAATACCTTGGTAATACCAGTAATGCCGTCGTAATGCCAAGTAATACCAAGTAATACCGAGTAATTCCACCGTAATGCCAAGTAATACCACGTAATTCCGTCGTAATGCCAAGTAATACCGCATAAAACGTACATGTATTGCCAAGAGTGAAAGACCCCTCGGAAAAAGCTATGTAGTTTGTTTTGTTAACATTCAAAGACAATTTAAAAACACCCAGCCAGTTATTGACATGTTCCATTCCAGCTATAGCACATGTCTTGAGGGCTTCTCAATCTTTACCACTGAAGACTAGCACTGTATCATCAGCATATGATACAACTTTACCTTGAATATCAATTTGAGTTAAGCTCTTAATGTATAAATTAAATAGTATAGGTCTCAGAACAGTCCCTTGAGGCACTCCGATTTGTATATTTTCAGGGTTACTCACATTGTCTCTGACCTTTACCTTCTGTACCCAAATAGCATAGAGAGTCATAATTACTATAGGGACCGTGCGTCATGACTTTAACGCTAACTGGTGACAAAAATGTGAACTTTTTGGGGGGTATTTATTAATGTTTTATACGGCATTTATTGTTTAATAATTATTAATGAAATGAAGTCGAATTATTTTCGTAATATCAATATCGAAAAAACTTGTTGCATCCGTGGATGTACAAACACATCACTTTAGAAACCTGGATTTCATTCGATAGTAAAGAAATTTTATAAATTTCCACAGAGCACAATTATGCCTCACACCCAATGATATACATAATTACAAAGATTGCTTATCCATATGTAAATCAGACGACGAAAAGCGTATTTCACTGGGCAAAGTTTTCTTTTTATCTAGCTTGTATCAATTTTGAGCACTTAGTTGTAAAGAAATCATTTACAGAAAAATTAGAATCTTTAGTGTTTTCTTGTCATTAAGATTTTTACATATTTAAATGACCATTTTAATAAATATAATTTTACAGATAATGGTTTATTCTGTTGATTAAAACTAATGTAGAATGTTATGAAATAAGAATATCCAATTTGACAAAAATATCACGGCCCTCTTTACAATTTATTAACTATTTCTCATTTATTATTAAAATAAACAAATCATAAATAATACATTGCAATTACTGTCAAAAGAGATTGTAACAAACTTTAAAATATTAAAAATCCAGTGATTTTTTGTAAATTTTTTAGTGACATTACCATTAAACATTATTCAGAATAATAGATAAGTGTCCAATTACAACTCTTACCAAAGTTGTTCATACCTCATATCAAAATTGTTTACATTACCTTTTCAAAATTGTATTACATATTGCAATTATGTATTTTATGTAGAATTGTTTCTGAAATAGTAGTCTAAAATTATTTATATCCATCTGTTATAAAAATTGTTTAGATCTCTTAATTTTATTTAACTACATGAAAACTCAACTTTCCAAATACATAATGACATGTCTTGAAGTAAAACTTTAATTATTATCTTTTTCTAAAGATTAAAATGCTGAAATTTTATTTTAACACATTTGGGCTAGAACGGCTCTATTTAGTGAGCACTAGGAAAGGCACATTGCAACCAGCTTTTCATAATTTTTTTATAGTTGGGTGAGCAATCTATAATATATGTATCATTGAACATCTCATAAACGCCAGTGGATGAATGACATTTCGATTAACATAAAGCTAAAAAGATTTATAATTTTTATTATCAATCTTTTTTATTAATTTACATTTTTTAAATGTTATTGTAATACTTTTAAATTCAGTGTTACTAAATACCTATATTTTAACATTGGATACACTTGTTTAAGGTACAACTTTACAATTTATTGTCACTTAGCCGTTTAAATCTTTTTGCTTAAAATGTATATGCATGTCCAGATTTTAATTATGTTTCACATTTTACGTCATTTTGACCATGTACACGATTGTTTGGTACGGGCCGGTATCTATTTTTAACTATATTTAATATTTAAAAAAATACCCTTCATTATTTACTTGCAATGTTTACCCCATTTAATTCTAAAATTAAACACTAGAGAGGGCTAAGTTCGGCAGTAGTGCTGCCTCTATATTTCACGCACGGTCCCTATTACTTTAGTATTTATTACTTTAATATAGTAAATATGTAGTAGCTACAACTATAAATGCCTGTTTAATGTAACAATTACTTTATATTCCTAATGATACAGTCACTAAAACGTAACAGTTATTCTCAGTGTGTCGCTTGTAGTTATGGTTATACAAACACCCATAACGAAGTTACAATAACCGAAAATTTACTTAAAAAATGTATTTAAAGTAATTTTTACTTTAAAGTCACAATGTTATAGTAGCGGAAACCATAAAAGTTACTAAAATGCGACTACAAAGTAATTTTAACTAACAAGTAACAACTTCTAGTAATTGGAACTTAACTGGGTGCTTCATTATAACTTTATATTTATAGTAGCATGTAAGTTAAAATAATTGTCGGTGGATAGTAAATGTTACCTGAGGATATACTTTACAGTAGCGGCAACTAAATACATTCTTGGTACTGTGACTTTAGATACCCAATTACTGTTAAAATTGACTTCAAAGTTTTTGCTACTTTACAATTTATACATTCGTAAATTTTCCAGAATAAACAATTAGGTTATAAAATTTGCTTTTATTTACAATAAAAAGAGTGCCCAGAGTGTTCTTCATTGTGAGTGTAAATCGTATAACTAGTTTACTAACTATTGATTGTGCTATAAAATATGTCGAAAACTATTAATAAGAAGAAATTATATAGGCATTCGACTACCTTTTATAGAAAATTAAAACAATTAAAATATAACTCAGAAGGCCAAAATATTATAAAAAATTTAAATGTTATCTGTAAACCATCTAACATTAAGGAAAAAGAACAATACTCAGAGGTGACAAAAACAATAATAGATTTAGATTATAATGAATATCAGAATAACGATTTTGCCTCATCAGCATATGAGGAAAACGAAAACAACCTAGATTATCTGGAAGAACCTGAAGAAAATTCCGAAACATTTACACTGTGGCTAGAATTAAAGAAGTGGGCTTTAAAGCATAAAACTACCCATAGTGCTCTTAATGATCTATTGAGGCTTCTAAAAAATAAAGGGTTACAATTACCATTAGATAGCAGGACGTTACTGGACACTCCTTGTACAGTATCTATTGAACGTATGGGTGATGGCGAATTTTGGTACAATGGGATAAAAAATAACTTAATGGCATGCTTGCCCAAGGAATCTCAATTAAAAAGAATGTCTTTAGTTTTTAATGTAGATGGCATACCACCTTTTAAAAATGCTCCACTACAATTTTGGCCAATTTTGTTTAGAGTCGAAGAAATTCCTGATTTAAAACCTATGGCAGTGGCAATCTATTGTGGAGAAACAAAACCTCCTTTACAGACTTTTTTTAGCCAATTTATTGAAGAGTTAAATGAACTTTTAACTAATGGCATTATATATAAAAACCAACAAGTAGAAATTCTAGTAAAATATTTTGTGTGTGACACGCCTGCCCGAAGTTATATAAAAGGTAATTACGAAAAGAAAAACATTTTAATAAATCCTATATTTTCATTTTCTGACATAAAATTTTTATTATTATTAACAAAATTAAATAAAAATAAGTTATATAATTATATTTTTAGGTACTGTGGGTTTTAATGCTACACGTGGATGTATAAAATGTACAGTAACAGGCCAATATGATAAAGGCGGAAGACATATGGCATTTCCGAAATCTGATTGTCCTTTGAGAACAGATCAAACTTTTCGTGGCCAAATAGATGAAGATCACCATAAAGAGACTTCTCCGTTGACAAAATTACCGATAGATATGATAGAAGACGTTATTGTAGCTGACTCTTTGCATCTTTTTGATTTGGGTGAGTATTTCTTTAAAAATGTGAACAAATAAAACTAGAGTACATTGTTACCAGAAGTGCCGTCCTCAATAAGATATCACCGTCTCGTTAACCCATCTGACTTTTATTAGTATTATATTTTTTACATACTTTGATTTCATTACAGGAGTCATGAGGAAATGTTTATATGGATGGGTGTATGGAAATTACAATTTTAAAACAAAGTTTTCCGGAAGAGATATTGATCGAATATCAAATGCTTTAAAATATTGTAACGATTATCGACCTAATGAAATTCATAGAGCAATAAGAACACTAAAATGTCTAAAATTTTGGAAAGGATCCGAGTATAGGACATTCTTACTTTATTTAGGACCGGTGATTTTAAAAGATTTTTTAAGCAATGATGTATACCATAATTATTTATTGCTGTTTTGTGCGGTTACAATATTATCATGTAAAACTTATTTAAAATATATTAATATAGCAGAAAGACTTATTTTGGATTTTATACATCAGTTTGGATTTATATACGGGTTTGATGCCATAAGTAGTAATATACATAACTTATGTCATGTCGTAAGCGGTGTTAAAAAATTTGGATGTCTTTCAGAAATAAGTGCGTATGCATTTGAAAACTGTTTGGGAAATATAAAATCATTGATTCGCAGTGGAAGGCGACCATTAGCTCAAATAGCTAAAAGGGCCACTGAACTAAACAGTTTTATGTCCAGTTTAGAATTAAATCATAATTTTATTTCATTTGTTAAAAATGAAAATACAATGGAAACTCATGTTTTATATGGATGTTCCAAAGTGTTTAATAAGATATACATTGCAGAAAAATTTATGCTGTGTAACAACAAAAGAAATAACTGTTTTTTAACAAAAAAAAACCAAATAGTTAAAATGATAAATGCTACTTATTATAAGGATGTTATTCACATATACGGACAACCGATACAGGAAAAAAACGATTTTTTTGAACTACCAATAAAATCGTCACATTTAAACATATATCAATGTAAATCGCAAAATAATTATGGTAAACCTAGGCTATATCGTATTTCTGACATTAAATGTAAACTTTTTTTTCTAAAATATAAAGAAAATTTTGTATTTTTTCCCCTCTTACATACATTAGACATAAATATTTAGAATTTAAAATAAAAAAATGAATTTGTTAAATTTTGTTTATTCATTTACTTTATCACATCTCATAACAATAAAATTAATAAAAATCCCTTTTTTTAATAATATAGGAGTTTTTTTACATACATTTTTAAAGTATAAGCAAAATACCGAAACAAAAACATAAATGTTCAGATTCTCAAGCTTCAACAAAAATTATGAAACACAAACATAAATATTCTATTATAAAAATTAAAAACAAAATCTGGTAACTCTCCATATGTCAGTAGTAATTTCCATTTCTGAATAAAAAAGCATTATTCATTGGATTCTATATGCACTCCTTCATTTCTAAAATAAAATAAATCATTAAAGAAAACTGTAGACTGCATTTACTAGGAAACTTTACCCATTAAGAATTATTAAGCATTTTGCATCATTTATTATATATTAATATACTTACTTGCCACTATCATCCTCTTCAGTATCAGGTCTCATCTCTTCTTCTTCTTCTTCTCCTTCGCCGGTAATATGAATATCTTTTGTGGGTTTAACTTTTCTTTCATATCTTTTTTTGGCGTGCTTGAGAATATTATTTTTTAATATAAATTCGTTTTTTTCCTTGGTGTGTCGATTATCTGCCTTACAGAGAACTTCAAACATTACAGAAATTAAGCTTTCTAAATTATGGAACGGTTTTTTTTCAGCATCAGTCTTTTTTCTTGAAACACCCGTCCATGAATATTGTTTAAGAACTTCCGGGGAAATTAAATAGTCTATTATTTTAAAACAAATTTTTGTAGCGTCCTGTTGACCAGTTGTTCCAGCAATCGTAGTTAGTAATACTGTTAACTGTTCTTTTAGAATTTTGCTATTTCTTAATTCATGGTCTAGCTTTGATACATTTTCACATGTTGTTAAAGGAAATTCATAATGTTTTAAAAGATCTGCAACTGGTTGTTTTTCTATAGAAATATTTTCTTTTGGAGATGTGGTCATGTTGTCTATTTTTTTACAAATATTGTCTAATAATAAATATATTTTGGCTCCTTGTTCTCTCAACTCATTCCTAATTTCTTGCACTTCCTGTTTTAAGTATTGAACTTCTCTTTGAACATCTAACATGGCTTCTTTTATATCTGGCAAATTTGGCTCTTCCATTTGTTGTTGCGTGTTATAATCGTCGGAAACATTGTCAATATTTAATGGAGTAATAAGCTCCTGCGATAAAATAATTGGTATATTATTTAGCGGTAAATTTTCTATGTTCTCAAAATTTTTCTCAAATAAATTATTGCGATCAATAATTGTGTATGAGTTATTTTCATATATTTTGTCGAATAGTTCCTCTTCTGCCTCAGTGTCTGTACATTCTGTTAATTGTTTTTCTAAAGATAAAGCTTCCTCAAAACTTTTAATGTTTTTACATTTAACTAGGCATCTATATTTGCCCCAAGTTTTTTCTGGATCGGAAGATATACTACTTCTTAATTTATTTATTTGGCCGGATGTTAATTTATCTGGCCAAAATAAATATTTTTCTTTTTCCCACTTGTGAGGAACAGCCGTAAAATATATTCCTCTCTTTTCTTTCGTTAATACAATTTTGTATGTGTCTTCAGTCATCGTATTTCTGAAAAAAAGGTAACAATTGAATAATTTTACAAACAGTAATTCTTAAGCTTGATAAAATACCTAGTTTTAATTAATTTTAGGATTTTTGTTATAAACAAAAGTTGCTTTTTTTTATTTAACAAATAATGTTGTTTTAATAGTTACGCAGTCCCAAACAATCGTGGTTTATTGATCAAATATAAAATCTTGGTGTATATTATAGTTATTCCATTTAAAATGCATGTGGTCTTATATAATCCCTATATCTCTAGTCAGGGATGACCCCTGGGACTGAAAGTTAATAAACTAATATATAAAAAGGTGTACTTACATATTAAATTTAACAAAAAACTCTATAAAAGCCGTCGAACTTTGCTCAACCAGTCGAATTATTTGAGGTTATGTTATGAACCTCCAAAGTAGCACATAAGTGTTAGATGTGACTTCAAAGTGGCCAGAAAAAGCGCGCAGGTAATTGTGTGTTTCTTTTAAAGTAATTCTTGTCACTTCATAGTGTAATGCAGATATGATTACACAATTTGCCACTATTTTAAAGGTAATAGCGTGGTAGCAATTACTTTATAGTAACTTCGGCATAGTTGCAAAATTGACTTTATAGTCGCACTTACTTTAATTGACAATATTTTGAGTTAGAGTTACTTAAGACAAGGGCAAAATTACTTTGAAGTGGTAGTATTATCTTTCATAGTCACAACTTATAATTCGGCCATATTATTTAGGTGAAATAAGATATGCATTTTTTTTTAAATAAAAAATTGATTAATTTTAAAATTTTCATTGGTTTAAAATAAATTCAGCATCCAAAAAGTTTAAATTAATATCAACTTGGGACTATGTGAGTGCTTAATATCACTTTTTATTTTAATATTATTATTTTATTATTATCTTTTTTTATGAAAAACCTAAAATTTGGGTGGCGCTTTTATTTTTTCGAAATATTTTAATATTTTACTCAGTAAACTACTATTTGTTAAACAAATCTATCCCCAAATAGCTTTAAACACGCTATTATAAAAGTATAATATCATACCTACTATATTATTACTTTCAAGTAACAAAGTCAACCACTTGCCTCGCCATCTATCATAATATCTTTTAAACAAGACTTTAAAATAAAAATTAAATTCATACATATTTAAACGAGAGAGTCAGGACACGCCCACGTTCAATAGAGATGAAGCAGTTACTATGCTGTTACTTAGCAATAACCAGGCTGCCACTACTTTGTGACTTTAATAATAGTGGCGGTTGAAGTTCCAATAACTAGCCTGGAACTACTTGGCTACCTGAAAATCATTCCCCACTTTGGTAACTATTACATAGCTGCTTAGTAACTAGGTGGTAGCGGTGGATGGTCGCCGTAACCTTTGAAGTTACTAGGTTGGTAGCGGTTACGTCTTCGGAACTATAAATGTTAGCTGGGTAGTCTGTGTGTCAAATAATTTTTAAAAACCTTCCACATGATGCCCCTCACTCCATTCTGTTCAAGAACATTTAAGAGCTTCTGATGCGGCACCGTGTCAAATGCTTTTGCTAGATCTAGAAATATAGCTATACACTTGTTATCAGTATTCATTTCATCAGTACTTAACATATGAAATCAATTCATGCATAGCATCTCCTGAGTTAAGACCCTCAGTAAAGCCATATGGTGCTTGGGAAGTAAGTCATTAGTTTTTAAAAAATCTGTCAGTCTATCTTTCACAAATTTCTCAAATATTTTGGCCACATTAATAATTAAACTAATAGGTCTATAGTTAGTTTTTAATTTTGGATTACCAGCTTTATAAATAGGTGTTATAATTTTAAATTGTTTAGGTATGATTCCTGTATTAAAAATACAATTAATTATATGCATTAAAGGTTCCAGTAAATACGGATGTAGTAGTTTTAGATGTTTTACTGTTATACAATCAAATCCCGGGGCACTATTGTTTTTTAAACTATTTATGTGCTTTATAATATCGTTTTCGCATATCGGTTTCTGAAACATTGATTTTTCAGTGACACAGAAAAATCCACATTACATTCAGGGATATTTGTGAACATATTAGTGCCAATAGTCGAAAAGTAGTTATTGCAGTAATTCGCCATTTCATTATCATTTTCAAATTCCTCATTATGTTGGTCAACAATCTGTAAATTAGTATTATTTTTTTTATGATTTTTATTAGTTGCTTCAGAGATTAATTGATAATTTTTTTTTAGATCATTTTTGTTTTGGTTCATTTGAGATATTTATCATAATAGGATCATGATCAGTCATATCATATCATAAGAGTTCACCGATAGATTTTAAGTCTTAATATTGTTTTTTAAGAATATATGATCCAAGGATGTTTTACTTTGTGGCCTCATAATAGTGTTTATGTAAGACATGAAACCATGGGAGTAAAAAGTTGCTTGGTAATCAGTAGTTACTTGATTGGTTACATTTAGGAGATCAATATTATTGTCCCCTATGAATATTTCAATATTTCTATTTAGGTGATTTGGTATGAAATTTTCTAAATCCCTTATAAATGCTTGTGCAGAGGTTTGAGGAGACATGTATACACCTGTAATGCCAATGGTCCGATGATTGACTTTTAGATTTATTTTAGTGACACAAATATCAGAATATTCCAGTTTAACTATATTTAATTCTGCATTTAGATTTGACCTGACCAAAATTACAACACCATCATTTCTGTTAATGTTACCATTGTTATAGTGTGTGGTGAAGCCATCTAGGTTAAATTGAGAAATAGATTCCAATTGGAAACATTCAGTCAAAACTATTATATCACAATAACTAATTTTATAACTTTCTAGAAATACTAACAACTCATCAAAATTCTTTTTAATACTCCTAATATTGAAATGTAAGACATTTAGGAGTTTTTCATTTAAATTAATTTTATTTCTTATATTAGCAGCATCAACGACTTCATTAATCGAATCAATTTGAATCGAATTTAATAGATTATTTTCTTGATTAATAATCATGAATTATTTGAATGTGTGTAAAAATATTAGTTACGTTATGTTATTGATCTGTATACTCGGTTTTATTTTGCAATATCATTTGATGATATTTCAAAGAGAGACAAGTCAAATGCAGTGCAGAATGGTTGTAGTCGTACTCAGTTTTATATTTTTCGTTTAGAAGTTTTACAGTTCTTACAGTGTATTTTATTCTTTGGACACAAGCTACCTTCATGTTCTTCACTACATATGTGGCACACGATTGCATTCTTACAGTTTTCTTTTTTATGGTATCTCCAAATCTTCATAAACCGGAAGTCTTTCCCATCCTATACATATTTTTTTCCTTTGTATCAATTGTTTAAATGCAGTTCCTGAACATTCACAGTATATCGATCGTTCGGAAGAAAAGAGTTACAACTCAAAAGATGCATTTTTACAGGAGAAGCATTTTTAGATTTTTATAGTAGATAATTGCTTTGTATGTAATCATGAAAAAAACTTGAATGCAAACTATTATTCCAAGTATTTGCACTAAACCAGTCTTAATTAAAGGTATATCTTGTTTTTTTTTATGTGACATGATTTTTTTCATAAAAAAAAGATGTAACTCTTTTTAATTAAAAGTAAGGTTATTTTTCAGAATTGTAACAATAGCAATAAGTTTCGGCTAACTCCTAAACAAACGACGACTGTTATAGTTCTATAAAGCTTTTTTGAAGTTCATTCTTGCGTATTTTAGTGGAAAAAATTATTCATTAAGAAGAAAAAATACAGACAGGTCAAAAAATTACAGATGTAACCATTTTGACTTGAAATTATGGGCAAATTAAATAAAAATCATTATTAATTTCTTACAATAAAGAGAAAATAAATTGAAATTATTGCAGTGTTTCTTGATTACTAAGGTCGATAAATAAAACCCATTCAATTTTATTATGAAACCGTTTAATTTAACACGTTTCATCAATTAGAACTTTGAAAAAATAAATAAAAAATTTTCTGCAAATTTAATTATACCTTTAGGAGAAACAAACTTAAATCTTCGTCAAGAAATAATAACGTTAGGTTAAAAAGTTATAAATTTTTAAAAAAATTAAATAATACATTGGAACACACTTTTTCTTCTCAACTAAAGACAACAAGCCATTCTTTTTCACCTCTGTTATTCCTGGTTTTTTGACATAGGCCTTGTTTAATTCATTTTGGTTTATGTCAATATTTTTTCTTGTACTTATAATTTCAGCCTGGTAAAATTCAGGTTGTTCAAAGGAAGTTTTATAGAACAAAGTATTGGGATACGCTTTTTCTATTTTTATTACCCTTGTTTTCGATAATTTAACATTCTTAGGAATATTGAGGAACAGATCCGAAGTTAACTTCTTTAAATCGAAAATATCTTTAAAACATAGTTCGTTCACTTTGTATGGAGATCCTGTTTTTTTTGCTGATCTGATTATACTTGCATAATGATCGGGAATGTAAATTGGACTTGATCTTTTGTACTTCTTTACTGCTTTTTCTATTGTTGCATGCATACTATCACCTTCGTTTTGGCTGTGACCGGTTATAAAATATTTGTGCGTGATAGAAGTTATGTTTAAGTTAAAAACAGCATACAGATAAAGTGCTATCAAAAATATGTTTTTATTTTGACCAGCATAATTATCTGAAAATAATATAATGTCTAAATCGCCCTCCCGATTTAGATCACTTTTGTTTTCTAGATATTTATAAATGCAAGTACCTATTTCATTTGCACCTCTTTGTGCTTCAGCTTCGTGCCATAAAAAACAGGTTCCCTGATGACTTTTGATGTCATATAAAGTGAAGTTCAACACATTTAACTTCGAGACATAAAAGAAAGATGAAGCATCTCCAACTGGACACGGAAGAACCGCCTGAAGATCAAAAACGATTACTTCAGCCCCACTATTAATGTCATGTTCTTTTTCTTTACGACTTAAGTCTTTTTCTTTGATGTGCGATTCATACTTCTCTATTAACGATACTTTCTCCTCTTCAGCACAATTTTTAAATTGCAAACAGAGCTCGCACTGATCCTATTTCGGAACATAGAAGGCTATGTTAAATTCTTCTTCAAAGATTTTTCTATACATGTGATAATTGGCAGCAGGTGACTTTTTCTCTTCACATATTTTTAAATAGTCACGATGCAAGTCTGAAAGGGTTTTACTTCCCTCAATATATTCTTTTGACGTAGTTGCTCTGCAATAGTGACTATCTATTCGTGGTATCGATTTAATGTGCTCCCTAATTTCATTTTTTATTGCCTGATCCACCTGATAATGATTATTGTGTTTGCCTCGCTTATCAACTTCGAAAATTTTGCCACTTTCACAAACCTTCTGCTTTTTTATAATAGTCTGAATGATTCTGTTGTTGATAGACAAAGTTGCCATAAAAAAAATCTTACAAACACATACATTTTTGTCATCTACAATAAAGTAATAGGTATTGTTAGGCTTTCTGGGAGAAGCAACATTACTATACTTGTATCTAGGATTGACTGTTTGCATATTCGATGAAATATACTGTCTTTGTTTCTCTAGATCTTTCAGGCTCCAGTATTCCTTGAAAAATTTCAACCTTATCTCATTAGTAATTTTTTCGGAACATTTTAATTTGCACTTTTGCCCACATGGAGGTTGTAGCTCTTTTTGAGGACGTTGTGTTTTCAATTTTTTTCTTGGTGCCGCCATCATTTTGAGTACTTAAACCAATGTAACTCTCACCACTATTCCTTAATCTCTTGTTGAAATTTTTTTGCCACGCTTGAGGATTTCTACTTCTTTTTTTAACCTTTTTACTTTCCTATCTGTATACAGATATAAGGAAAGTATAGGAATCATGATTTTTTTCGACCTCGAGTTTTCGACGGATTTTTACGTTTTGAGGTCCCCTGAATCCGTTTTGACTATTTTCGCGATGATGTCTATGTGTGTGTCTGTGTGTCGCATAACTCATGAACCGATACACATAAAACACCAAATTTCATACTTAAGCTTTGTTCCAGCGTCCAATGTGCTGATTAGATTTTGAGCAGTGTCGGAACATCTGGGGGGGGTACTTTATAGGTGGTCATTTTTATATTTTATGGAATATATCTGTTATTTACGCTTGGGAAAGAAAATTCTTCAAATAAAAGTTACTTCTTATATTATTATCTAAAATTTTTGCTCTATACAAAATTTTCCTAAAATGGTCCGTATTCGAGAAATTTGACAAAATGTAAAAAAATATTTTTTTATAAAAATTGTTCAAACAAAAGTTGTTTGTAATATAATTCTCTATAATTTTATCCTATACATAATTTCTCTAAAATGGACCGTATTCGAGATATTTTAGAAAATGTGTAAATTTCGAAATTTGAAGAAAACTCAAAAACGGATAAAGAAAAAAACATTAAATTTTAAACTTAAGTTTTATTTCGGCCTGACGTGAAATGATTAGATTTTGGACAAAGTCGGAACATCTGGGGGGGTACTTTATGGGAGGCCGTTATTATATTTTATGGAATATATCTGTTATTTATGTTTGGAGAAAAAAATTGTTCAAATAAAAGTTATTTCTAATATTATTATCTATAATTTTTGCTTTATGTCAAAATTTCCTGAAATGGTCCGTATTCGAGAAATTTGACAAAATGTGCAAAATTCCGATTTTTATGAAAATTGTTAAAATAAAAGTTGTTTTCGATATCGATCTCTATAATTTTTGTTTATACATGATTTTTCTAAAATGGACCGTAATGGACAAATTGTAGGAAAAGTGCTAAATTTAAAGTTTTCAGTATTTTCATTTTCAATGAATATCTATAGAAAAATGTTTCGAGGTAGATGTATGTGGAAAATGTATATATTTATTTTATCCTCTAAACATTTATGGAGGTGCTGCAATAGGTTGTACAAAATAACCGGAAAAAGCCTGTAATAACTAGATAGGAAAGTCATGTGTTGGACACATCAGATTTTTTTCTGTGAAAGACTTATGTACTACCTTTCTTTTTTTGGAATAATATTTTCTTTTTCTTCTGGTAATACTAATACTTCATAGTCCGATGATGATTCATCATATGATGACTCATGATAGGGCGGATCCTTTATGCTGTCATCAGAGCCAAATGGTTCTGCTTCAGAATCTGATGAAGATGATGTGCTACTCAGTGAACAACTGGACTTACTGCAAGTCTTTGATGTGGATGAAGAATCATTACTAGATGAAGATGCTGAGCGTATTTCACTTCTCTCGGATAATGAAACATTATTTACTATGTTATTATCTAAAAAATTGAATTATTGAAAAGAACTACATTAAATAATAAACCTAAATTACTCATTATTATAGTTTCTTCCGCACCAAGCAACTCATCATTAGGTTCTTTTTCCTCTGTTGAACTTGTTGCACTGTTTGAGATTTTTGTTTCAGCTTCTGATGCTTCTATAACGCATTCAGGCATGGCACTGTGCACATTAATTTGGGATAGATCGAGAGATTCATTTTGTTCGTTATTCGCTAAAATGTAATGCAAAATTACTTTCCAAATTATTATCGACAAATTAACAACAGGTGCAAGAAAATGAAGTACATCTTTTTAGCCCCTTCTTTACATGAATAGCACTTTAAACTGTAACAGCATTTAATAGAAAATTTCCAATTACAAAATAGAAGTGCAAAAAAATAAAATAAAAATAAAAATTTACCCTTAAACTTAGATTTACCTGAAGCTGCATTCTCTTTTGCATCAGGCACCTCTTCATGATTTTTTTCATCTAGGTTCTGGCCATTTTACAATTAGACAATATTTTCAACGTCCGCTTCTTGTAAGACATCATCGGGTGTGTGTGTGTCACTTTTAGTAATAACTATACTAAAAAATTTGATTAGTTTTAATAAAAATTTTAAATAGTTGCAAAAGTTTTAAAGTCCGAATTTTAAAATAAATTTTCAAGAAAACCGTTATACGTTATAATAAAACACTAGAAGTACTGAATGCAAGCCAAGAAAGAAGATACATTTCAAAATATAACACACCATAGACAAACTAGGTTAAAAATTTGGTTCAAAAGCATTATAAAGCAAAATAAAGCATCTTCTTCTAATAGATTATGAACCGTTTGCTTCCTATTATACAAGAATATGGTTACAAAATTTAATGTTTCGTTAGAAACTTTAACAATACCTACTTATATGTATATTATAGAGTAAATAATTAGATTTTATATCTGTTTCACCACCTATTTCTACTACTTGATCATGCGCATTAAGTTGTCTGCATTGTGCTTTTGATTCTAGGATCATATATTTTGTTTTTGCAGTATTTAATTTAAGCTTATTTACACACAGCCAGTCATACAAAATAGACAATTCTTCATTTAATATTTGAATTATTTCCTGAAAATCTCTACCAGATACTGAAATGAGCGTGTCGTCCGCGAAAAGGCTAATAAATGATCTTTTTAATCGTTTATGAATGTCATTTACATAAATAATAAATAAAAGTGGACCCAACACACTTCCTTGCGGTATCCCGTAGTGGCTTTCTGTTTCACTAGATATATTATTTCCTATTTTAGTCTTATGATACCTATTAGATAAATACTCCCTAATTAAATTTAATGCTACCGAATTTACACCGTAATTTTGCAACTTTTTTAATAAAAAATTTCTATTTATTGTTTCAAAAGCCCTTTTAAGGTCAATAAAAACACTAACAATAATATTATTTTCATTTATATCATTTCTCCATTTCGCACAAACAAATTGGAGAGCTGTTTCACAAGAATGTTGGTCTCTAAACCCTGACTGTCCCTCATACAAAATATTATTGTCTTCAAAATAAAATTTGAGCTGATCTCTTACTACAATTTCAATGATCTTATCTGCAGATGGTAATAAATTTATAGGCCTACAATCTTCTGGTCTTGTTGGACATGATATTTTGGCTATTGGCACAATTACACTAACTTTTAATTCACTGGGAAACATACCTGTTTTGGATTAATTAACAATAATTTGAATAATTTTCACTTGAAAATTCGTTACATGATAGCTCTATTACATTTGATGCTTTCTTGTCTACCACGAAAGCTTGTCTAGTTTTTGTTCCACGTAAATATGTTTCATTTTAAAAGTTTAAAACAATTTAGGATCAGGTGACATCAGAATAATGAATATATTGTCTCACAACTCGCCGCGATACAAAAACGGAGAACAGATGCACTGTCTTCGGCGTCGTCACAATCAGGTCCACAGAGTTATTAAAATACACTAGACCATTAGTCCGGGAAACCAAGAACAAATTATAGTCAGAAACAATACCCTTTACAAGGACCGTATTTACCAGATTAAGAAGAGGGTACCCGATAACACAAAATAACCCCTTCAATAGTGCAATACTTAAACATGCGTCACCTGAACTCTTATTTTTAAGATTGTTCACTATTTTTTTTAATTGATTAAAACTTATTTTTTTAAAAGCACCAAACTCACTGTTGATATTGACGTCCTCCATGGGTGAAATCCTCTTATCTTCAATGCTGTTTGCGATTTCCTGGATACTGTTTTTGTAAAAATTATTAAAGTTCTCTTCCACAGTACTATTATGTTCACTAAAAATAATTTTAATTTAATTTAAATATGCCGGTGTGTGTACATTTGTAAGCTAAAAAACTGAGAAAATACATAGGTAAACTATCAAAAAATTCAAATGAAATGGTATTAAATACTTACCACTTATATAGCCTATAATTAAATACAAACAACGTAAACATTAAATCACAAATAAATAATGTTCATATGTCTTCGTCAGATTCTTCGTTGGAAGAAGACTTGTCACTGTCGTCACTGGAATCCTCATTAGGATTAATGACGATAGGATTAATTTCCGAATATAAATCAGTTTGTATTTCTCTTTCAAAATATTTATCTTCTACCTTTATAACATGATCGCATCTCTTTTTACATTCCTCCATACCGATTTTGTTAAATTCTTCTTCTGCTAATTGTTTTACGTCTTCTAATTTAAAGGTAACATTCCTTTGACTGACATTGTTCTTAACAGTTGCCCAAATCAATTCGATAGGGATCAAGTCGGGGCAGGGTTGGCAAATATCATGATATTTATTATAAATATCAAAATATCGGATATATACGATATATATCAAAATTTGATATATATCAGATTGTCTCAATTAACTTTTGAGAAAATCCTTTTGGAGGATAATAGGCGTGGTTAATAAGTAATAAAAACAAAGAAGTATTTAAAGTGTATAATGACGAAAAAATATATTAATATATTTCTTCGATTTTTGCAGATTGTCGAGTATTTTTGACATTAAATTTAATAACAGAATTAAATTTTTATTTATAATTACACACTTTTTAATAAGTTTTTGTTTTCATTTATTATTTTTAGAAAATGTTTGTTACTTTTAACTTTTAATTTACTTCAAATAAAAACTATGACAAATTAATTTTATAAAAACAAAATAAGAAGAAGAAAATCAGTCCGATTCGGAGTTTGGTTCTTGTTCCTCTGGGTTATATTTACTACAGGATGCCACAGGAACTTCAAGGTCTTGTTGCTGATTGTATAACCAGTCCAAATTGGTGGCTTTCTTGGAACAGTCCTGATTAAGAAATTTAAAAATAAAAGTTAATTTGGTAGCTTTGTCAGTTCCTAGTCTATTTCTTAGTTTGGACTGTACAAGTCCAAATGTGGAAAAAATTCGTTCCAATCCGGCAGATGATGCTACTGCAGTCAGTAGCTTTGAACACATTTCTAAAAAGGTGGGTTGTAAATTTGTCCAATCAAAAACGAAATCTTTTTTGTCATCTAAATCTAAAGTAAGTGCCTTCCACCAAGTCATAGGGGGCGTGCTTTGAAAAGCAGACGCAAGCATAAACTGAGGAAACGGTTTTGACCCTGAATTTAATGCCATTACAATAGGTATAAAATTGTTATTTATAGTCTCTAAATACTGATATGCTAGATTCTTTTCTTCATTATTTTAATTTCTCCCTCTAAAGCGATAGTCGCATAAATTTGCTAAATAATGGCTTGGTGTTAAGGCCATCTCCTTTCTAGTTCGAAAGTGTTCGAGCACATTACGTGGTTGTCCTTGTAAATCTTCTTCTAGTTTTTTCCAAATTTCTACACTAACGGCTATGGTAGTTCCATCCCTTTGCATGCGATCCAATGAAATTGAAATCGGCTCCATACGCTTTAAAAACTCTTTTGCATTTACTGTGATATTTATATCATTTACAATACGGAATATATCACGATCAATGGCGTCCTTATGATCTTGACAAACTTGTACAAGTATCCCTCTATTTTCTAGGTACGATTTTAATGTATCAGTTACAGTGTTCCATCTAACTTCTTGAGGAAGGACAAGCATTTTCCCTTGCGCTCTCTTGTACCAGGCTAAAGGTAAATGCTTGTTTCTAAAGTATTTTATAACTTTTATAATATGTTCCTTAAGGTCCTGAATCTGTATATCCTCTGCCAACAAGTTGAGAATATGAGCCGAGCAACCATATTGTATAACATCAATTTGAGGTGTGGCTGCTAGAAGTTTTCTCATTTTTGCAACGTTTTTGGCATTATCAGTCACAATGCTTCTTACTTTCGCACCAAAAAATGTTTCGATATGTATAACAGCATCAGAAGCGACTTCCTTTAAGTAATCAGCTGCATGTGAATGTCCAGAGGTATCCACAGTTTTAATTAAGTACGATTCACCATATTCATTTATAACAGAACAGCAAATTATTGGTTCATTATGAACATTTGACCATCCATCAACTGAAATTGATACAACTTCTCCTTTTAATTTATCTTTACATAGTTCTGTAACATCATTATATACTTCGTCCAATAAATCATTTCCAATTTGCCTTCTGGAAGCAGGCTTGTACCCTGGTCTTAAAACTTTACACATTTTTTTGAACTCGTCATGCTCTACATGTCTAAATGGTGTATTCGTCGCAAAGAAAAATTTGCCAATTTGTAAATCAATGGTGTGTGCATATGATTTTGATGTTGAAATTACGCTGACGTCCTTAGCAACATTTAATTTATTTATATCTAAGCAGGGCTTTTTTTTCGGCGGTTTTACTGTTGATGATAATATCGTTACTGAAAGAGAAAGTAAAATATTATTTTTTAAATATAGATATAATTATTGGTCGGCAGATAAAAAGAGATGGTGTAATAATTAAACAGTTCAAAAAAGGAAATGTCTGAGCTAACACCATATAACAAACTATTTTATATTTTTTATTCATGCCAACCAACAGCCTTATACAAATTTGTATTTTTAGAATGTAACATTTTCTTTATTTACCATGCAATTTTCATTTTTGGTTATTAAAAAGCGCTTATTAAATAAAATAACTTACCATTTTTATTTTTAACACGTTCAGTTTCTTCTTGTTCCAGGGTCAAGGTTT